GAGATTTCCGAATACAATTTTTTTTTGTATACGCGACCCCTTTACCGTATCCAGTTTAAGCAATCTGATTGAGAATACCTGCCAACTATATCAGCCGTTCGTTACCGTTTTGCCATTGCTTCATTTTTTTTTGTTCAGGGTTTCATAACCGAGGGTGGGCGTTGAAATATCTTACTTTTATTTTTTTTAGTGTATATAGTTAAAATCAATATATGTGTCAAAATTACCGTGACTATTACTGAGTTTACTGATCACCAATTTACTTCCCCCTTATTTTTCAGCAGTGAAAAATTCTTTGCAACCACAAGTAGTGATTAAAGCCCATTATTTGTGGCTACTAATTATTTGAGTCTAAGTAACCTTTGACCCCTGGAATTGTTCATCTCCATCTGTGCTGCCCGAGTACTTTCGACGCTGTTTCGAGAGTTTGTGGAGTAAACCATCACCAAAAATCTGGCGCTCGAGAACCGTCCGTAACCAGCGTCATTCGTAAGGAACCGTTTTCTCTGAGGCGAGAAAACCCCTTACAAATTTGGCGCCCGCGCAGGGACCTGGTTACTTTCCGATAGGTAAACCGATACTGCCCCCACCCTTCCATATCAGTTTCTTTTTCCGTCTTAGCTTTATTTTTTCTTTATTTTTTTTTCTCTTCCCCTTTTATCCCGGTACGCATTGTACGTTGTCTAGTCCGCTCCACGCTAAACTATTTTTTTTAAATTCCATTTTCCGTTCACCAAACCGAAACTCTCTTAGTAACTCAGTAATAACCCAGTTAACCATAGCTAACCGTTTTTCGTTTAATAGGGTAGATTTTGAAAAATTATTTACGATTCAAAATCCGAATTTCAACACCTGCCGGTTCTCCAATTTTTTTTTTGGAGGGTTTCTTCCTCCACCTAACTTAATTTTTGTTTTCTTCGTGATTTTGCCTCTTTCTGTAAAGAAACCCGCTCGCGTTCGTTTCCTTTGGAAAGTTAATGTCCGTTACAACCGCTGAAGATATCAGGGCAATAGATACGGAGGGAAACGACTTACAAACAAAATTAAGTATTTCTACTTCCGAAGATCCGGAGGTCGAATCGAAAGAATCAAAAGAGGTTCAATCAACAACAGCAACCCCCGTATCTTGGGTGTATTTGCTAAAGAACTCGGAGATCACCAGTGAATTAGAAAAGCATCAGCTCCCCGTCAGTGGCACTGTACAGGAGAAACGAAAACGTTTGGTTTCCTTCCTGCGAGGTACCGAAAAAATTTCTGAAACAATTAGTGAAAAGTCTCAACAAACAATGCCAGACCCACCCGAGCCAATTCGAACTCAGGATTGGAAAGTCACATTTGGCAACCGTGAAGATCCAGCAGCTTTTCTAGAAAGGCTAGATGAGATCTGCACCGCTAAAGCAATAGACAAGGATCGATTATTACCCTATTTACCCGAACTACTTACCGGGGATCCTGCATTATGGTTTAGAAACAACCGATCCTCTTGGAACACCTTTGAGGACTTCGAAACAGATTTCCGAATATTCTTTTTCTTCGTTAATTACCAGATCGACTTAGAGGTGGAAATAAGTAGAAGGTTACAAAGAAGAAACGAAACTGTAACCAGTTATATAACCGAGTTGCAAACATTGATGAGACGACATGGAAAGTTGAGTAATGAACAACAGCTAACCTGGCTATACCGAAATTTGCTTCCAGAATACAGACAGCAAATCCGAAAGACGGATTACTCCAATTTTACCACATTTTGTCAAGTCGTCCGGGAGTTCGAGCTGCTTAGAAAGGAGTTACAGAGCATACCATCGACGAGTTTTGTTCCGAGGAGTACAGCTTCCCGTTATTCTCAGCAATCCGAACCGTTCAGACACCCAGCACCCGAACCTACCCGACTTAAAACCTCTGAACCTTCACATTATTTCCGCTCCGATCCCTCACACTATTATCAAGCTAATCCGCCGCCAGTTGATTCAAAATCCGTTTCCTTTTCCCCTTCCGTACCCGCCGTCCGTAATCAGCCGCAAAGATTTGAACCACAACCATCCACCTCACGTGGAGAAGTGTTGTGTTGGAGATGTGGAGAGAAGGGACATCTGCGAATACACTGCCAAAATGAAGTAAAAATATTCTGTTCCCGCTGCCTAAAGGAAGGCGTATTGTCAAAAGACTGTCCGTGTAGCCAGTCGGGAAATGGGACAGGAGCTGTTCGGAAGGGAGGTCCAAACAGTTCCAACCGACACTAGCCTCTCAAGAGACCGTCATTATACCCGATCACGACTCGCGACCACACTTATGTTTGGAAATAGAAGGTGAAAAGTTTTTGGCATTATTAGATACCGGAGCTTCCAAATCCTACATAGGTAATCGACTAGCGGAACATCTTTCCCAGAAAAAGCAACCCATAAAAGTAGCACCGACGTCTGCGAGGTTAGCTAATGGAAACATAATCCGCATTCAAGACACCTATCAAGTAAAGATGAAGTTCGGCAACCAGAAAACTGCCGAAGAAATGGTTTACTTTCCAAATTTAAGTGCCGAATTAGTACTAGGAATAGATATCCTAGAGAAGTATAATTTTAGACTGGAATTGGGAACAGGAAAAATTGCAATAGGTGAGACGCCGATGCCACCTGTAGAAAGAGCCGTTACCTGCTTTCCAATTGGAATAGTTGAACAACCATCCGTTAAATCAATACCGCCCGTTAAACCAATACCACCCGTCGTAAAGCCTATAGAAGTTAGAGCTATAGTCCTTGCTGAAAATGGACCTCAGGATTTACCAAATGCTTCGGAAAAGTCTAAAGTCCAAAGCAAAAAGGACAAAGTGTCCAGTTCAAGGAGTTCCCCTACCCGTTCTGTTTCGAGCTGTCCCACAGCCCCAAAGACAAGATGTAAGTCACTAGACTTCAAGTCAGGGTTGTGCAACATAGTGAAAAATGAAACAGCCGTCTCCAAACTCAGTGAAAGCTGTGATAAGGAAGACGATGAAGAGGAAACCAATAGCATAGGCTGTTCTTTACAGACTATCACGCCGATTATCGAGAGATCACTGACTCCAGAACAATCACACAGGTTAGATGAATTTTTGGCTACCGAACTACCAGCTTTTCATGATATACAAGGGCCAACTGATTTAGTACAGCACGAAATCCGTTTAATTAAGCAAGAACCGATCAAACAAAGATACCGACCACAAAATCCGAAAATGCAAGAGGTCATTAACGAGGAAGTGGACAAAATGTTGGACGAAGGGGTAATAGAGCCCTCAAAAAGTCCTTGGAGTTCTCCTGTGGTGATTGTAAGAAAGAAAGATGGTAAACACCGATTCTGCATTGATTTTCGGAAAGTAAATGAAGTCACTATGAAAGATGCATATCCACTACCGTATATGAATGCCATTTTGGATAAGCTGAGATCTGCTAAGTTTATTACTAGCTTAGACTTGAAAAGTGGATATTGGCAAGTTCCACTTTCCGCCCGCAGCATACCGATAACCGCATTCACCGTACCCGGACGAGGACTTTTCCAGTTCCGAGTTATGCCCTTTGGCCTTCATTCCGCTCCCGCCACTTTCCAACGTTTAATCGATCAGATTATTGGCCCCGACATGGATCCACATGCCTTCGCTTACTTAGATGACATCATTATTCTAGGAGAGACTTTTGAATCTCATCTAGCAAATTTGAAAGAAGTTTTCCGACGCCTGAGAGAGGCTAAACTCCAAATCAACTTTGAAAAATGTCATTTCTGTCTACCGAGTATGAAATATTTAGGCCATATAGTCACCGGAGATGGAATTAGTACCGATTTACTTCCCCCTTATTTTTCAGCAGTGAAAAATTCTTTGCAACCACAAGTAGTGATTAAAGCCCATTATTTGTGGCTACTAATTATTTGAGTCTAAGTAACCTTTGACCCCTGGAATTTTTCATCTCCATCTGTGCTGCCCGAGTACTTTCGACGCTGTTTCGAGAGTTTGTGGAGTAAACCATCACCAAAAATCTGGCGCTCGAGAACCGTCCGTAACCAGCGTCATTCGTAAGGAACCGTTTTCTCTGAGGCGAGAAAACCCCTTACAATATCTTTAATAGTCAAAGGGGCACATCTTAGGATCTTAGGCGGATTTTTTAGAACTTTGCTTGTTTTAGATACATACTTTTTGTTTTTATATACACCTATAATAACTGTCATGCTCTGTAAACATTATTATAATACCCTTTCAAATGATTGAACCAATCATCTAATGGCCAGATCTTAAAGTTGGGTACATGTTTATGTTAAAACACGAAACATTAATGCTTTATCTAGTTCTTATAATGGTCAAAGAGCACCTCACTTTTTAACGACCAATTGTGGATTTTTTTGGAACTATTTACTTTTTGGTGCATTATCTTCTTTTGCTTTTGTATTGGATAGAACTAGGGTGAAATACTCATAAATATGTAATTTATCGTGGTTTCGAACAACGATAAATATCTCTGTAGTTGTCGCGCTCCTTTTGTCTTTCATTCTTTTATATACTCGTAGGTATTGTAGGATTATTTTACCATTCTCTTGTTATATTGTGTTTATATTACGCTTCTTTTCAAATTTGTAGCCCAAGTCAACTATTTTTTCTTTTCTTCCAACCTTTTTTAAATTTCCAGAGCTACGCCATCATTCCCACCTACCTTTCCTATTTTGATTTTTTGTGGTTTCTTCTATTTCTGCTCTCTTTATTTCTCCTTTTTGATCTAGTCCATCTTTTTTATTTATATTTTCCTTGTGATATGCTGCGTTAAATTTATCTGTTTAATGTTCATTCCACGTTTTTGGTATTTCTTTTGTCTATCTGTAATAGTTCGTGTTTGTCATTAATTTTATTTCTTCTTAAATTTTTATTTGTTGTAATTTGTTGTAATTTGTTGTAATACCCTTACAGTACCCTGTTTGACTAATATTCGAGTTTGGAGATGTAGGTAACAATATAATCCTACCTTTTGATTTTGTCTTTTTTTTTTCAGAATATTAGATGCGTTAGGTGGGAGAATAGTGCAACATCTGGGTTGGAATGTACCAAATGAAGAGCTAATCCATGTCCCCGAACATTGGCTAACTTACCCGGATGTTGACAAATCCTTACATTTTCTTCTAGGTTTTGTTTACGTCTTCTTCTTTATAGCAGCGATAATCGGCAATGGAATGGTACTATGGATCTTTTCTTCGTAAGTGTGATTATAGTTTTTTAACAATTAGACAAAAATTAGAAAATTATTTTTGAGATCTGTTCTCGAACCTGTTGCCATTAATCAATAGTCTTTCGGGTTCTGGTTTCTTGTAGTTTTTAACACATTTTAGAAAAATCTATATTTCTATTATAGTAACGTGATATCTAGTTATTCTATCTACTTGTTTAATGTGTTTGAGGTCAATTGATAGGGCGTGAGTTAGGTTATTAAATAACTCGAATAACTTTGAAAAATAAGTTGGGCACCACTATATTTAAAGCTTACTATACTTGATTTTATATTAGTGATAAAAATATAGAAAATCACTAACCACTAACAAATTATATTTAAACCATGCTTTAGATAAGGTAGCTATCAAATTCTAATTCATATAAGTTGTACTAAATTCAAATTTAAACGATTTATTGAGTAAGCACTTATCTTTTGGTAAATTAGGTAATATACGGAATTTAAAACAGGTTATCTCAAGGTATATCTCCAAAGGGATAAAATTTGACAATTTATTTAAGAAATCATTGTACAAAATATATATTTTCAACAATATATCATTATTAAAACTTACCTTATAAAATGATTAAATGAACTGAAATAATTTTTCCCAATGGGTTAGAAGGCAGTTACTACCAAATCTTCCTCCAAGGTCCTTGATTACAACGCAACCAAAAAAGCAGATTTAATTAACTGGCTGGTTAAAAAAATATACCACATGATGCTAAAATGACCAAACCCGGACTGTACTTATTAATAAAAGTTCACAGACCTCCACCGAAATTTCTTTTAAACGATCTTCTCGAAGAACATGGACACAAAGTTCTACGAGTACCTCCATATCATCCCGAATTAGATCCCATAGAAAAAATATGGGCCACAGTAAAAAATTGGGTGGTTCAACATAACACAACATTCGAGTTGGATAATGTTGAAAAGTTGGCAAGAGAAAAATTCCGAAGCATAACGCGGGAGGAATGGGCAAATGTAGTGGACCATTCCGCGAAATATGGGGATGCATATATTCAAAGAGAACACCTTATGGATGAAATTACAGATTCCCTCATATTTAATGTAAACACAGGGTCATCCGATGAGTGGGAATCCGATATTTCTGATTTGGAAGATGAAGATGACGAAAATGTATAAAATTATACAAATTAAATTAAAATATATTATTTATTTAAACTTTTAGTTGTTTTATTAATTTAAAGTTCTTCAGCAATTTAACTAACGAATAGTTAAAATTTAACATTAACTTATTAATATGTTCGATTTAAAATATTTTATTAATGTACACACGCCACTGCTAAGATATCAGGTACCCCTACCACAACAGATTTCAGCCCAGCGCCATCAACTAAAGCTCCACAAAGTTATGACGTACTGCGCGCTTTACGAGGTGCGTAGCGTGAGGTGCGTCTTCTTTCGTATGCGATATAAAGCCGTTGGTATCGAGACTATAGATGTTGGACATCTTAAAAAGCCCTACCTCTGATTGAAACACCAGAGGATTCAGATAAATGTCTGGTATTTAGGGGGTAGCATGCTCCTCATCGTCGGTGTTTAAACCTCTTAGTTAAATAAAAAAAAGAATGATGTGTAAACCTATACAAACTGTTTAATTTCTTTTTAAACTTTCAGGGCAAAATCTCTTCGCACCGCCTCTAATATGTTCGTAGTAAACTTGGCGTTTTGCGATTTTATCATGATGTTAAAATCACCAATTTTTCTTTACAATACATATCACCAAGGTTTCGCGATGGGTCACTTGGGTTGTCAAATATTTGCGGGAATGGGGTCATTATCTGGGATAGGAGCAGCACTTTCTAACGCCTGTATTGCCTACGACAGGTACACTACAATAACCAATCCGTTTGATGGAAAAATATCCAGGACGAAGGCATTGGTGATGATTATTTTTATTTGGTGTTATACGGTTCCATGGACGGTTATGCCTTTGTTGGAAATTTGGGGAAGATTTGTTCCCGGTAAATATATTTATTATTTAACTAGTAGATATAGGATGTGTCTCAAATTCGAGTCTCTATATTGGTATCTCGGTTAATATAGAAAGTAGAATATTTTAGAGTAGCGTTTCTCAAACTTTTTTGGCGACGGAACCCTTTCGAAAAGTGTAATATTCGAGGGAGCCCTAAAATAATAAAAATAGATTTTTTAAACTTTATATTGGTTTAGATAGGTTTTATTTTACTTTTCAACCCCAGGGCATTTCTACAAAAAAAAAAACATTTTGAAAAACGCTGTTTTAGAGAATTTAATTGTGATTTCTAGACCTAGGAATATATGCACCCAAAAAGTAGTTAAATATGCGCATATACAGGGTGTTTATTAATTGAGTGCCGATACTTAAGGGTGTGAATCCTTGGGTGATTTTAAAAAGAAAAGTTAATATCAACATATGTCGTAAATCTCTCTTAATTTTTGAGCTACAGGGTGTTACAGTTTTAAGAAAAAAATATATTTTTTTTTCATAATTTTCTTATCACTACAGATATTTTTATGAAATTTTGTAAACACCTTTTAATCATTAAGGAGCATTTTTTGACGTATAAGATTTTTTTTAATTTTTACCAGTGACTTCCGTACGGGGTTTGAACTGAATATTTTTGAAGAAAAAATGGTACGCCACTGCTTTTTCTAAAATCCAAAATTATTTTTGAAATATTCATTTATTTTGGCCCATAGACTTGCTTTCGTACGATGCACTGTGTTAGCGTAAAAAAATTAAAACCAAAATTTTTTTTCTTAAACTGCTTTTGATTTTCTGTTGAAATTTGGTAGGCACCCACCATGCGTAAAAACACTTATTTTGGGACAAAAATTAATTTTCTACTTCCACCAGTGACGGCCACGTAGGCATCATATTGAATGTTTGGATAGAAAAAAAAACGTACACCTCTGATTTTTTTAAATTCTATGTATTTTAAAAATCGGGATTTATTTATAGTAAAATGAAAATTCAAAATCTTGAATCTAAAACGAAATTACAAGAGAATACAAACAAAATAAATAACCCAAATTATTTACAGTAATTGTTGGAAGTGTCCTCCACCCACACGTATGCAAGCATCTACTCTTCTTCGCATAGACTGACGCACATTTTCAAAGATTCCTGGGGTGTTTCTTATGGTTTGGCAGCAGACTGTTATACGATTTCGTAACTCTTCTTTGGTTTGAATCGGCACTGCGTACACTAAGCTTTTCAGATGCCCCCAGAAAAAGAAGTCTAAACTATTAAGGTCGGGAGATCTAGGCGGCCATGACTGCGTTCCTCCGTGACCTATCCACAGATTGCGATAGGTGTGATTTAAAAATTCACGCACTCGTAAGCTAAAATGTGGAGGCGCACCATCGTGCATTAGCCACATCTGGTTTCTTAATAAAAGAGGAAGGTCTTCAAGCATTGGCGGCAAATCATCTTCAAGGAAGTGTAAATATGATTGTCCATCAAGTCTTCTTGGGAGAAAAAATGGGCCTATCAAATAATCATCAATAATGCCAGCCCAAACATTTAATGAGAACTGTTCTTGATGATTTGACTCAACAATTGCATAAGGGTTTTTATTCGCCCATAAATGGTTATTATGGAAATTTATTATTGAGTTTCGAGAAAAATTAGCTTCATCGGTAAAAAGAATGTGCCTGTCAAATAATGGATTTTCCAGCAGGTTTTGAAGAAACCACTCTCAGAAATTAATGCGCAACGGGAAATCTCTAGGGAGTAATGCCTGGACTCTTTGAATGTGATATGGGTATAACAAATTTTCGATGAGAATTTTCCAAACAAGTACATGTGAAACATTAAATGTTAAACGCGATTCTCCTCGTGCTAGTTTCGAGGTTCTCCTCAATTTCATCTAAAATTCCTTCTTCAAGTTCCGGTGTTCTTACTGTTTGATGGACTCCTTTAGCCCTGTGGTCTACTTTTAAAGTTCCGGTCTCGTGAAGACGTCTATGAATCCTAGAAAATGTTCTCGGATCGGGTAGTACGCGAATTGGATACCGCTCTTGGTATATCCGTCTGGCTTCGTATGCATTTCCGTCTGCAAGCCCATAACTAAAATGCATGTCAGCTAATTCACTGTTCGTAAAATTTACCATTTTTTTCAGATTTTAACTCTTACTCTAATAATAATTATTTAATAATGTAAAATCAATGTCAACTTTATTGTCTTTATGAAAAGAAACGTCAAAAATGATGACGCTTTACCCAGCCTACTAATGTTTATTTCATTTGCTTTAAGAGGGCAATAATGCGCTTACCATTTTTTTCTATTCAAAACGTAGAAAATTAATTTTTGTCCCAAAAAAATGTTTCCACGCATGGTGGGTGCCTAGCAGATTTCAACAAAATATCAAAAGCAGTAGGTATCAATGAATTTAAGGAAAAAATTTGACCAACCACTACAATGGTTTTTATTTTTTACGCGAAAACGGTGCATCGTACGAAAGTATGTCTATGATCCGAGTTTGCTCCAAAATAAATGATGATTTCAAAAATAATTTTGGTTTTCAGAAAAAGCAGTGGCGTACCATTTTTTTCTTCAAAAATATTCAGTTCAAACCCCGTACGGACGTCACTGGTAAAAATTTAAAAAATCTTATACGTCAAAAAATGCTCCTTAATTATTAAAACGTGTGTACAAAATTTCATAGAACTATCTGGAGTGATAAAAAAATTATGATAAAAAAGTAATTTGTTTCTTAAAACTGTAACAGCCTGTAACTCAAAAATTAAGTGAGTTACGACATATGTTGATATTAACTTTTCTTCTTAAAATTACCTAAGGATTCACACTTTTAAGTATCGGCACTCAATTAATAAACACCCTGTATATAATAGTAATTTGTTATTTGATCGAAGTAGTTTATTAATATTTATTATTTGTTTTATTTTACAATACCTAATATAATAATTAATAATTATTTAATTATTAACCAATTTTATTTACAAATCAACATTATTATAAAACGAATGAACAATTAGATGTTTTTCTAAATTATCTGTATTAAATGATTGTCTCCTATCAGTAAGTATGTACTTGTACAAAGAAAAATTCCTTTCGACATCTACAGAAGTAATAGGTGCAAACTTAAATTTTCCGGAAATATCTGGATGAATAGTATTAATATCTTCAAAGTTACCATAATAAATATTAGTAAAGTTTCTTAAAACAATAAATTCTTCATTTTTTAAAATTACATTTGAAAATTTATGAAAAATCGTCTTTCCAATATCGCGCTGGACATTTTTACACTCTGATTCAAACGTCTTAATTAAATTTACGGAAGTCACCAAAGGAAATTTTTTTTGTTCTAAATCTAATATAATTTTGGGTACAAATGCATAATTTTTTAAAAACACTAAATGCTTTGGTAATATGTGATTTTGAAACAACTTCTTTGTATTAGATATTCCCTTAGATGAATCATCAAAATCTGTGATTTTTCCCTTAGATAAAGCTCAGTTTCTGGATTGCAAGAGAACCTTAATTCCTTTTTTTAGGCGGTAGTTTAAATATTTAAATTTAAATAACAAAAAAAAAATCTAAAGAAGCCAATATTTTAAGGAGACTCGCCTAGTGGTATGTCTGCGTTCTGGAATTCTTGAAGGGGGCCCCACACGTTTTCTTCTTGGGAAAACGGAACACCGACGAACAAAATAACAAATATTTTGATTTTTCAATGCGAACACTTCAGAGGTTCATACGGTACTCCTGGTCTATTAAAAATCCAAAAATGTCCTTTATAAACGCACAGATGTGCGCCGACGCGAGTGATTCCCAATATATTGGCAAGAAATAAATTAAACTATTTTGATAAAAATATTAAGGGTCACTAGCATCCAATTAATTATGAGAAATATCAACATAAAACAATTATTCTAAATTAAGGAAAAAACGCGTAAATACCTAACAAAATCAAATATGATTTCTTTAATTTTTTCATAATTATCTGCGTAAAAAAGGCAGTTTTAAGCCAGGTACCCCACCGAGTAATCACAGGTTCCAGTGGCATATGTAATTCAGGAAATTTTTCTTTGTACAATTGAGTTCTTTAAGAATATTTTTTTTTACATTACTAATTAAATCATTTATGAAAGTAAACTTAGACCTAATTTCTTCTGCAACTCTGTTAAGGCCATGAGCCAAACATGTAACATGGATTAAGTTTTCATAAAACATTTTTAAATTTTGTGCGTCTTTTACCATGTACGGGGCAGCATCGGATAACAGCAATAAACATTTTTCTGTTGGAACGGATTCCGGAAGAAAGAAGGAAGACAATTCTGTATGGATAAAACGAGTTATTGTCAAGTTATTTGTTTTATCTAATTGCTTTGAAGCGATTAGATATGGACCAATTTGCATTTCTTCACGTAATGAACCTATCATTAAATCGACCACAAGAGTCTGTTGTTTCATCCACAATAATGTAGAAATGGTTTCCAACGGTAATCTCACGAATTTTTTCACGAGTCTCAATGTACAAACTGTCAACACCACGTTTGTGTAATATACTTTGCTCTGGAATATTAAATTTACAGTATATATACAGGGATATTCGAAGTCACTAAAGCTTTGCATAAATCTTTATTAAAAATAGCTTGTTCACTTCTAGACGATTCAGATTCTAAATATTGTTTCAAGGGAAGTTGATTTTGTCTGCGAGTGTCTTTAGATTTCTGCTTTGCTATATGTGAGGGTGTTTTCGCGTGTTGGTCGATTTGATACTTTTTTTTACATGGATTTTAAAACAAATAAATTCCTGTAGATGTTGAAGTTTTAATTAAATTAAATAAATGCGTACGTTGTAAAGTTACCATACTTTTTTTTTAACTGTGAAATAATATTTTACTGTCGTTTGATTGACCATTGTGAAAGGTCAAAATAAAATTTAAAATTAAAAAGTACTTACAATTTTAGAACATGTTTTACAAAACACCTGGTTATCACCTTCTGCAACAAAATCTGAATAAGATTTTACCCACGACTAAATTAATTTTGCCATTTTCCCACTGGTTAACACAACACAACAATAAAGACTGAAAAGGAGTTGAAAGTAAACTGAGTCATTTAGAAATTTGAATATATTAATGCAACTACCTGAAAGGATATTTAGCAAAATGTGTTGGTTTAAGGAGGGTGTTTATAATTTAATCCTCTCAAGTACCTACACCATTAACCGTAATTTATTACAGGGAAAAGTTAATCCTTCAAAATTTTAGGAAATCGATCTGTAAAGGCATTTCACAAAATATTATTTTGGTCCAAAATTCATAATTTTAATATGTCCAGCCAATTAGTACGTCAGATATATGCCAAAAAATTAACAAAATGTCAATATATGCATTCAAAATCAAAAATTGTATATATATATATATATTGATATAGAAACCCCCTGTATATCAATTTAATAAATTTGCCCAGACTCTTAAAAGGGGTGGTTCGGTTCTAAAAATTTACAAATGGTAAAATATTTGCCAAATTTAATAAATAAAAAATTAAATTTTAAATTCTTCAGTCTTCTCTTAGCTCCTTGTCTCCACTGTCTATATTGCCTTAACCTGTCCGCTTGTCTATCTACTCGATTCTATCTCTCTGTTGGTCTGTACTTCTGCTAATCTCTACCTGTGTGCGTGTGATCGTGTCTCCCTGTCTCTGCTTCTACCTGTAACTGCTGCTACCAGCCCATGCTCTGCTACTCCCTGTCTGTCACTGCTTTTACCTGTCTTTGCTTATTTCTAATTAAAATTCCTCTGTACCTTTTTATTTTATTTTCTTTATTTCAACTTCTATTGTAACATCAAGCTTCTATAATAATAATAATCTATCTTTGTATTAATTTTATCTCTGGCGTTTTTCAAATTCCCCACTGACAATCTCTGACAATATAATTTTTTTTTGACATCTCTCTTTTTTCTCCATCCACCAAAAACCCGACATTTTGATTTTTCACTTAAATTTTACTTTCCAGACACTTCACCACCCCAGTATTGTTCAACTTAGATATTAATTTTGATGACGTCAGGAATTTCTATATCAATATATATATATATATATATATATATATATATATATATATATATATATATATATATATATATATATATATATATATATATATATATATATATATATGCAACATATTCAAAATATGGCGTTTTGCATATATTCCTAGCTCTAGTGATTTCAAATCCATTTTATTAAAAGATGTACTTTTTAAACAATATTACAAATGCCATCCAAATTTTTAAGAATGTCTCTTAAATTAATAAAAAAAATATATTTGCAGTGGGCTCTCTTGCTAATAGAACCGTTCTTATATTTTTAAACATTTGTTTTTGTGTTTCAGAGGGTTTCTTGACAACATGCAGTTTTGATTATCTGACCAGAACGAGTGATAATCGAATATTTGTCGGATCAATTTTTTTTTTCTCATACGTGTGTCCTATGACGTTAATAATTTTCTTCTATAGCCAAATAGTCAGCAAAGTATTTAGCCATGAGAAAGCGTTAAGAGAACAGGTAGGTTAATCACAGAGATAACACGATATGTAACTACTAACAAATATCGTGTTGTAATGAATAAAACATATTCTTAGGGACACAGGAGGGTATAATATCCGCTATTATTATATCCCTATTTCAATATTCTCGTTTTGTATACAAAATTATTTACATATCTTAATAATTCAACCAATTTTATTGCAACTCAACCTAAAAAATTTTTAATTTTTTTATATCTTATTTAACTAAATTTGATGTAATTTCAGTTAACTAGACTTAACAATTTTAAATAAATTCCAAAACCTAGTTAATATTAATGCAATGCAATAGGGCGTATACCAGCATAAATTTCTACGTTGTTTATTATAAGCGCACAAGTGCATACACATATATTCATTGTTAACAAATTTCGTATCTTCGTAAAATCCTTCTGTTTATCCCCTCTCTTACCTCTCACCACACGTCTCAGCACTGCGGACCTACAAGTAGAGCGTTTGACTGTTGAAATAATGTTATGTGCATTTATTTTATCAATGAATAGCTACATCTCTTGTTATATTTGATTAATCATAATAGATACATTGTTTTATTAAATAATTATTTCTGCTAGGTCATAGGTATTAAAATTAATTTGACGCGAGATCTAAAAGAGGGAAAATTACAAAAATTTAAAATAGTATATTGTGCAAGAAGTGCAGAAAGTAACCAATTCCACACGATGTGCGAGTGCCACAATCACACGAGTGTGGAATTGGTTTTCTGCACGAGTGGCATACTATACTTTTTCTACGACCACAATGACTTAAAACACAAATTAATATATTTTTTAATAAATTGGATGATCTTTATTAATGATTTAAAATTAGAAATATAAAGAGGTGGTAAATATTTATTATTGTTATCACTTTTTAAATGTGTACTTAACATAGTTTCTTTTTCATATTTTTCGTGGACATCGTCCCGGTTTAATAATTCACTAAACTATATAAACGTATTTAAATTTTCTTAAATTTCAATTACAAATTTATTTATTATAAAAATTAATATTAACAACATTATCGTTTGAAATATTAAGAGGTGGTAAATCATGACCTTGGATGGTTTTTTCATATATTGTTTCTGAAATAGATATTCTGCTAGTAGAAGCTTCAGGTTCTTCACTCCTATTTTCTACAGAATGTAGAATTGAATTTGCGATATCCATTTTATGTGATAAACTGTCATCGATGTATCCTTCCGCGGTTGTAGTTGACTTCCATCCGCCGTGTCTTTTAAGGTACCATTTCGGTAGGCGCGACAGACGACCGCCGACGCGACATACGACCGCCGACACGACCGAGAAGTGTCGCTTCACATCTAAAATACATACCATTATATGAAACACATTTCGCACAGCGCGACACGACCGAGAAGTGTCGTCCTGGAGACACTTCTCGGTGCAAAGCTTTGCTGCGTATCGCACTCGAGGTCACTGTCCTCGGCATCGCTTTTTTTTGGGGGTGATTCGGTCGGAAATTTCTTTCGATCTAGGCAGCGTTGCCAGATTTTAAAACAGTATGGGTAAAAAAAAAAACGTAGATCTGACCAGTAGATTTTAATACAGGGGGAAATAATTAAAATTTGCAGTGTAGTAAATAAAAAAACAAGTATATAAGAAACGAAAAATAAACTTTTTGTCGACCCAAATTAGAAGGTAAACAAAGAATAAAAACAAATAATAACATTTTTAATATATACTTAACGTACGGAAACAAAAAAAGAACAATGGAAAATAATAGATACCTACTTCTTTTAGATCAGTCTAAATCAGATAATTCAAAATCGTAGTGTGCATGTTCTTTTTATGATGCCTTATTAATTCTTTGTTTCATTTTAAATAAAAACAATGATTATCTTGATGTTTTTTTTTTATGGAGCTAACCTACAGTAGTGGATGCTTATTACGCTGCTTTTACTGTAGAAAATTTACTAGAGAAAATATTCTTTAACCATTTGCTGAAGAATGAGGCAAACTTAATAAATTAATGAAATAAAATGAATTTAGCTCAAAGCCGAATATCACATAAAATACAACGACCGTTTCCCCTTCCGAAAACAACTACTCCTTTGGCTAATACCACAACAGGCATTGAATTACATCCGAAGGAAAAACGGCAGAGATAGAAATTAATTTTCAACACTCTCTACTTCGATTTTGCTCACCAAGGAGAACATCATTCTTGGACCGGTTTCGTCCTTATTAGGACTCCTCAGCAAGAAATAGATAGGTTCTCAATTCCAGTCTCTAATGGAATTAACAAATGCTACACATTTCACCAGTATACCATAAAGCTGGTTACGGAGAGAATAAAATTCAAGTAGTGAAAATGGTGTCGCCATCTGTTCTTAGTAAGCAAAATCAAAGTGCGCTATGGTACCCAGTTTGAAAACTAGGTGGAACCAAAAAACCAGGCGGGCAATTTGTACACGATAATAAATTATCAAAACTCAAATGTAATAGTAGCAAAATGAAATAAAATGAATTTAGCTCAAAGCCGAATATCACATAAAATACAACGACCGTTTCCCCTTCCGAAAACAACTACTCCTTTGGCTAATACCACAACAGGCATTGAATTACATCCGATGGTACCTTTAAGCTTTGTTATATCTGCTCCAGAATTAACTAGAATTGTTGCGGACGAACGGCGAAAACAGTGGCTTGTATAATTTTTGTGATCTGGTAACTTCAAATTTATTTCCCCCTTTTATTTTAGCTAGTGATTAATTCTGTACCAGCCCAAGCAACGATTAAAGCCCGTTACTTATGGCACACTATTACCTGTGTCTAAGTGACCTTGACCTCTGGAATTTTTCATCTCCATCTGTAGCTACCCGAGTACTTTCGACGCCGTTTCGAAAGTTCGTGGAGTAAACCATCACCAAAAATCTGGCGCTCGAGAACCGCCCGTAACCAGCGTCATTCGTAAGGAATCGTTTTCTCTGTGGCGAGAAAACCCCTTACAATATCCTTCAGACTTTCTTTTCAGAAACGAGCGCAATTTTTGATAGCGTGAAATATCTACATTTTGCCTTATTGACAATTTAGTTCTCAACATCGAGTAAATTGACCATAATGTAGAAGATTTAAAAGATTTCGATTGCTCCCCAAAATAAATTAAATGTCAAGATTTGAAATGTCAATATTTTAAATCGGGTAACTCGATTTAAATTTTTGTTGTATTATCCCCTTCATATAGGCAACCAACATTACATAAATTATAAATTATTTTAGGTTTTTTCTAAATTAACTGAATTTTGTAGTATTCGACGAAATATTTAGTTAAATAGATATGTCCTTAAAATATAATATTGTTTTTTCATTCATGCTAAAGGTTATACGACAATTTATTCGATGCACTAAACAGTGTGGAATTACCGTGTGGAATAATATTTCCACACTAATTATGAATGTGTACGGAATTGCCTACTTTGACCCTTAAAAAATAATTCTGAATTTATAATTTTCTGTAGTGGTCGTCGAAAAACTAAATTAAAAGGTCACTCGTCGAATAGATATATTCTGAGAGTTGAAAAACTTTAAGACCACAGTACCACCCCCAATATTCGTAACATGAACTAATTTTGATAGATGTCATTTATGTGTCATAAATTAAGAATCCTTTTGTTCGGCAGATGGAGCAATATTCCATATTTAATAGTTCTTTTGTTCAACAGATGGCGTAATAATTTTATTAGTTCTAAACGGTTACTGTTATAAAATACCTAACAAATTCATCACCCCTAGCTACTACGCGATAATAACTAAACGAGTTCTTGACCTCGACAAATATTTTCGATGAAACAGGTATAAAAATAAAACTTATATTCACCTGGCGAGCTTTTGTTGTCTTCCACTGGTCCGCTCAATCATTCTCAACTATGAACTTTACTGAAATAAAATTATTTAGGGTGAGCGCATTATCCTTAAAAAAATATGGTATAAAATTAGAACAATATAATCTATGTGGTTTGGCGAATGGACTCAGTTCGCGCAGTCAAAAAATTGAAATAAAAAAAAACTGACTGGAGGATACGTTCGCGAGCTATGGTTGGGTACTATTTAATAATTAAATGAATATTAAATAATTTCAATGAAAACTATTTATAATTTTAAAGTTGAGAAGAGAAAGAAAAAATAGACAGAAAGGGAAAGAAAGAAAGAAAGAACGTAAACAAAAGCTCAAGAAATGCAACTTCCAGACGATTCAATGTACACTTCAGGTATACATTTTTGAAATCGAATAGTATAAAAGAATAGAAAAATGTGATAGTATACAGAGTAACTAACTAATATGTACCTTAAAGGTAAAAAAATTACTCAAAATCAATCCCACGTAATTTAATTTTAGGAAATTAAATGACAACCGGTTTCGGGACTAGGCCATCATCAGGTCTAAAAATAAAGTAATAAGCGCTTACAATATAAAATGACGTCTCCATAAAATATTTAAAAAAAAAACACACGTGTATGATTAAAAAGGCAGTTGTAAGAGATACCATATGTGGGAAATATGCCATATTCTCACATTTATCAACATGTCCCACATATATTTCTTACAACTACCTTACCCTTGTTGGGGTTCGGTTTTAATCATGCACGTGTATTTTTTTAACCTTTTTATGGGGACGTCCTAGTAGTGTTTGTTAGCGCTTATCACTTAATTTTTAGACCTGATGATGACCTAAGGCCAAAACATTTAACTTAATAAAATTAATTTATATGGGATTGATTTTGAGTTATTGTCTTACTAATATATAGGATGTTTCATTAAAAAAAAAACAAGAAGAGTGGTCATAACCGGGGAGGAGACCGTAAAAGTTACAACGAGTATACCACGAGCAGAATTAACCCTTTATATGATTTTCGACTTGTTCTTGTATTTTTTCATGAAAGCCTCACCATTAAATTAATTTAGAGTGGATAATTTTCATTGAAAATTCCTGTGTAGAGCTAAGTGCCAATACAATGACGTTGT